TTCCATTTTGTATAGCAACTTAGTGCTACATACATCGTGAAACTAAATATGGTGCAGATCTGCACAGATTTGCGACCCTGGAAATTTTCAACAAATTTCGTGATATCTCGTGATCTATCGATCAGAACTTAACGAATCTGGTACCATTCGAACCGTCTCGATGAGATGGATCGAATGGTACTAAATTCATTAAAATTCAATCACTGGATCACAAGATAATCGCATTTGAGTGAATTTTGCAGCCACCTCACGATATTGTTAACCAGTGGTCTAAATTTAATGGTTTTGGTACCATTAGATTCCTCTCTATGAGAGGATTCGAATGGTACCAAAAACGTTAAAATCGTTGCGGAATACGTTTTGTGGCGCAGTTTTGCGCAGATCTGCACAAAAAAATTCACAGATCTGCACAAAACTGCGCCGCAAAACGTATTCTGCAAATATCTCATGAACCAGTGATTCGTTTTAACGTTTTTGGTACCATTCGAATCCTCTCATCGAGAGGAATCTAATAGTACCAAAATCATTAAATTTGGACTACTAGTTAACAAGATCGTGAGGTGGCTGCAAAATTCACTCAAATGCGATTATCTTGTGATCCAGTGATCGAATTTTAATGAATTTAGTACCATTCGATCCATCTCATCAAGACGGTTCGAATGGTACCATATTCGTTAAGTTCTGATCGATAGATCATGAGATATCGCGAAATTTGTTGAAAATTTCCAGGGTTGCAAATCTGCGCAGATCTGCACTATATTTAGTTTTCCGATGTAGGATTGACCAGATTGGAATATTTGGTTGTCTAGATTTAGTGATACATCTGGGAGAGTTAGGCCTTGAGTTTTGTGTGTAAGAGCAAATGCATTTTGTATAGAATATTGAGTGCAACTGGATGATATTCCGTTGATAAAGAAATAGTCAGTATATTTAGAAAAGTATATGTTGATAATAGCGCCTTCGATACAAAAACTGACATAGACTAGTTCTGATCTTGGGTTAATGTCAGTTATAATGCCTACAGTACTATTTGTGATTCAATCTTTATGTTGGGAATTATTTAAAAACATGACTCTTGTACCAAGTTATATTTTTATCATTTCAGATAAATTTGGTTTGTTTTTGAATAAGTAGTGTAATATATTGTTGTTACAGGTTTGACCGTTGTAGATATCAATACAGTTAGAAATTATAAATTTATCTTCTTGAATAGGGATTATTGTGCATATTGTTTTGTTTATTTGGTATACAGTTTTTCGGTAACCTACTATGTGAGTGGTATTTAGGTTTGTGTTAATTTGGGATATTGTTGCAGTTTCATTTTCTTTATTTGATAGAATTTGCCATATTTCGTCATCTATTAGTCCAAATCTTATTTTTTGTAGCATGTTGTAAAAGGTTAGATCTTGGTTTTGTCATTGTGGTTCACGTAAAAATAAGTGAAAGAATATTTTCCATATCTGTAACTTGAATACAGAAGGGCCATTAACAGGTAGTAGTTGTGCTAAGTCACCAACTACTATAACATTTATGCCTCCGAATGGGTGATTGTTTTTATGAAGGGATTCAAATATTTCAGAAATGTAAGTTAACATCGAGCCAGATACCATTGAGATTTCTTCTATGATAAGTGTGTGGATTTGTCAAAGAGAGTTGCTAAAATTAGGATCATGAAAGGCAAGAGTACGAATTCCACATTCATCAGATATGATTTTTAATACTGAATGTATAGTTGTCCCACCAATATTTTGTGCAGTGATTCCCATGGAGGCCATTAGTAATAATTGTGGTTGATTCTTTGAAGGTAATTTATTAGTAAATAGATGATGAATAATTTACCAACTCCTGCTGGTCCTGTTATAAAAAAATAGAGGTAATGTAAGTTATTTTGCGGGCTTAGATAATTTGTTATTGTTTGGATGCAGTGGTATTGACTTGGTGGTAGATTAATCATTGTGTTTAAAGGTGGAGTTCACAGTAAGATTTTAATTGAATCTAATTGTGATTTAATTAGGTTGAGAATGTTAGATGATATTATTGGTTGTAGTGATAATATTATGTTTTTGATTAGGGTATTGAATTGGTTTGTGGTGTGTGTTGTTTAATTTATAATGAAGTCTCGGTTTTGTTCTTGTATAGATTGGTATACATCTGGGAACCGGGCTAAGAAGTGGTCATGATAAGATGAAAATTGGCTATATAAGTCGGATTCTGATTTACAAGAGAGCCTTAATATAAGTTGTTGATAAAAGAATAGTTCACCATGTTCTAGCCATACAAATTGCATATGTGTAAGTATGCGATTTGTACATTTTATAACAGTATTTCCTAGTTGGTCATGGTATGTTATTCTTTGGGATGTGATTTTGTTTGTTTTTTTTAATTTTATATAATTCATAATAATCTTTATATGTTATATTATCAAATATAGGGTCAAGAAGTCGAGAAAAATAATTTTCTATTTTATCATTCCAGAATGGGTCGTTATCAAGGGGATTGATCATGTGTAGAGGTAGGATGGCTTTAGAATGAACAGTCGGAGGATCAGTTGTTAAGTATTAAACTTGTACTGATGAATTTACAATTTATTCGCCAAGCAATAAAAACATTAGCTCCATTGAGCCCATGTGCTGAGCATGAACATATTTTCGATAATAGGATTGATCTGATATATTAAATAGGTGGGTTGGTTCTGGTTTACTAATGTATTTTGTTATATATCGGGCAAAACCTTTATCTGTTATATATTGGGCATTCCATATCATAAGAGTTGGGGCATGATATGGGACTACCCACTGGTCTTCAGGGGTTATACAGCGATATGTATATCTGTAGTTTGATGGGTCGTAATAGGTATGTTCTGCAAATGGGTGTGAAAAATCCTTTTTACATGTGGAACCTGGTAATGCTGGTCCTTCACATTTTGAGTTGCATGTGTATATTTGTAAGGTACGGACTTTTTGGTAAAGTTCAGGTTCTTGATTGGGATCTGGAAGTGTTGATCGTATAGTATTTGTACTAATCATTGTTAGTATGTCATTAGTCATCCAATAGACTCCATGTAATTGTGCAGCTCCATGATTCTGGAATTCTATTCTGTCGAAGAAATAAGTGTAAGTTCCCCATTCACTAACATCTGGATCTTTTCAAATATATTTTTTAAGGTTTTGTAGTTTGTAGATAAAGTGTAAAGTGGTGTGTAATAGTCTATTAGTTGGTAGAGTGTCTTTGTTATCGGTGTTAGCTAGGATATTATGAAGATGATACCAATGTCCTTTGGCTATTGACAGTGTAATAAATATAGATGGAAGGCCAAGTTCGCGGATCATTGTATTTAGGTGCATTGTTTTTTGTTGAAAGTAGGTACTGCCTGTGCGAATAAAAGAGGGGATTGTGTATGTTTTTGATTCATTATAATGCCATTCATTGGCATATGTGCTTCTTTCAATAATTTGTATAGCTGTAAGTAGGCCACGAGTTGTACTAATATCTGATTGTCAAATTAATCACTGTTTATTGTGAAAGTTTCTAAGTTTTTCTAATTGTAGATATGCCTATGCAGGCCAATAGTGGTGTAGACGAAATCATAAATCTTTGGAGAGTAGTCTGTGTTTTATATATTTTCCAAATGTGTCATGATTATAATGAATGTTTTTTAACTGGTTTCTCATTTCGTAGTAATGTCCATGTCCGTCAGGATATAAATCAGGAAATAGTAACAGTTCGAGATGGGGATTGTTTAGTGTGATTGGGATTTTGTTTAATTTGTTATCTGTTAAGAAGCCAGCCATTAATCGACTATAATGTGCATCTTCATTGTGTATTTCTTCAGGAAAGTCTTAGTGAGGAACTACTATATTGCCATGTCGAAATGGGGTACATCTTCATCGTCAGGTAGGTGAGTTGCTGATGGGAAAGAGTTAGATATATTTGTATTTAAGAAGATCATTCTTGAATATATGTGTAGATATGAGATATTTTCTTTAAGCCAATTTGAAGCATTTGTTAGTGTATTGTCAAACCAAGGTGGAGGTGTAGTTTGATTAGTAGATGTTGATTCAGTTGAAGGATTTAAATATGCATCTAATATTCCTGAATACAGATTAAATGTGTGTATGTTTCAGGAGTAGTTCATAGTACCTACTAGAGATCTGTATTCAGAAAAAAGGTTTGTATCAGGTGTACAACCTAAGGAACAATGTAGGAATATAGGTGATAGGTATTTGCGTTTTTCTAGTGGAATAGAGTTGATTTCTGGTAGAATTTGAAAAAGGTAAGGAGAGTAGTTACAAGTTTGATTACGTTTATATGAGGAGCATATAGCAATTCGGTTCATGGGTGGGTTAGGATTTGTAATTAAGTGTTCAGTTGGATATGCATTGATAATGGATAATGAAAATTTGGATTTCGCAGAATCCATTCAGCTTTTTCGGGGTACATAAATCTGAAGCATATTGAACAGGGAATACATGGGAATTGATATAAAACGGTGTTTTCAAATTGATCTATTATTTCACACATTTTTGTAAAAATTGACCAAGTCGTTGGAGGTGGTACATTCGATAAGGTTTCGTTTCGGAGTTCTGTTGATTGTAGTGGTGTATTTTCAGATATGTCTAAGTTAAGGATTTGTTCACTGTATTCAAGAGGTTCAATTTCTAGAATTTGATTACAAAAAATGACATTTTATGTATAATCTTTTTAAGTATGTTGATTGAGTTGATTGTTAATGATATTTATTGCTTTGGTTTGAAAATTGTATGTTTTTTGTGAAAGTTCAATTTGGTTGTTTATATACGATTATCTGTTTGTTTGTTATGTTGTAATTCATGATTTTGTCACAGGTAAATTCACTTGAGATCAATTAATTTTCTATATTTGTGTGATATATGTTCGCGACTTTATTGTGCTATTTTTTGTATTATTTATTTGTATAATGCATGATGTATTTTACATTTGTTATTACATGATTTCTTTAATATATATGCTTGATAATAATAATGGATTTAGTAATAATTATTTTATTTATTGATTTATTAGGTATAGTGTAACTTCCCTCTAACTTATAAGAGAAAGTTGAGTATTATACGTTATAGTGCGGTTAAAGAGTTTTCAGGTAAAGCATGTTTGTTTGCCAAATTTAGTAAAATTGAATAATATTTAAAAGCTACATAATGCATGAAATGTAACAGTAATATCTTTATTTATTTTTGTAGTTTAGCATTATTATTTTTATACAATTGAATTATTATTAGGGTTAGATCGGATGGATTTTTTTGTGTTACTTATTCCAGTTAACTTATTTAAGTATAAAAAGTATTTATTAAATTGTGAAGTGCTATTTAACTACATATTTCAAATTTTAATACATGGATATAACGTAAAAGAAAATGTTTATATGTATATATTTATTGAATGTTCTTATACTTTAAAAGAAAAAATTAATAGAATATTCTTTTTATAAGTAAAGAAGTAAAAAAGAAAAATTGAAAAAAAAAGTTTACTATTTTTTTTTTTTTGACATAATAATAATAGATTCAAATAATTTGGTACTAATAGATTATTAGATCATTATACATAATTATAGGTTATGAAGTATTTTTAATCGTATTTGTTTCAGGTTGTGTATTGGTAGGCAAAGAAGATGTTGTGTCTAGTTTGTTTGAATTAGTTAGTGCTTCTTTTGCCATATTTGTTAGTTTGCGACAGGTTCTAGTTCGGATATATGGTTTGGTAATTTTAGATGATGAAGGTTTGATCGGAGGTTTATTTTTAATTATGAATATTTTTTTTTATTTTTAGAGTTGGTGGTGAAAGAGTTAGTTATAGTTGAAGTTTTGTTTATAAATGATAAATCTTCATTTTTACTTGCTTTAGAACTTGTGGGAGAAAGTTTAGTCGCAGATGGTGTTTTATTCACGAACATTGGATCTTCATTTTTGGTATTGGCATTAACTCTGGCAGCTATTTTTTCAGCAATTTTGTTGCTTCATTTGATTTTTCATTTTTCCATGAAATATTTACAGAGTTCAACAATGACTTTTGTTAGTCTGAAAATAACATGCTCTTAACATGTATATAATTCTTATTATTATATAGAATGAATTTGCCGCTAATAAAGAAAATTGAATTTTTTTTTATTGTAGGGGTTATTCATATCAAATATAGTGCGGAGGCCAAATAATGGCAGTCTATTTCAATTGTAAATGAATCCTGATCTACATGGTCGGTAAATGCGACAATCATAATCTTTAATTACTGGAGGGTTTCGTACTTTTATGGTCATGTTTATTAAGACTGGAAATTCTGGAATACAGCTCGGATTTACGTCAAGCTTTACAAGATCGTTTAATATAATCTAGTTATTATATTTTATTTTTTAATTAAAAATATATATCATTTATAAATGATAAAATCTTTTATTTGTAAGAATAGTAATTTAAATTTTTTTTCCAATTTACTAATAAAAGAATTTATTTATATTTTAGGAATTGAAATATTTCCTTCTTTGCTTGCATACTTTACGATTCGAAATTTACCTGTCATGATGATAACATTTCCTTCTTCAAATTTAGAAAGTTTAAATTCTTCAGGTAAATCATGGTTGTAAAACTCTTTTAGAAGAATTTTTTGGGCTGAGTTTAAGCTTCGAGAATTTATGATTCCCAAAGCTTCAGCAATTTGAAAAGATTTGATGACATTGCATCGATAATTATTAACATAGCATAAAATGGTAATATTACCTGGCATTGTTTTTAGTAGAAGTTTATTTTTATTTTTGATTATTATTTTATTTTTTTTAAAAAAGTTCAAATTCTTTATTTTTATAGTTATTTTCGTGAGAATAAATTTTTACTTCTTGAAATTTACATAGTGTGTAAATATGACGTATTGCCTTAGTTAGTAGACTTTTTAGTTAATAATTAGCTAATAATTATTATGCATGTAAGTAATTGTAAATATTATAGTTTTGATGTAATTTTTAGATACTTTTACTTATAATGGTTCAATTTTTACGTACATATTCGATTATTAATTCATGACTATTATATTATAATATTTATTATAAGCATTAATTAAAAGATTAAAATGTCGAAATAGTTACAGATTCAATGATCATGCGGTGTGAATTTGTGTTATGATCTAGTTATGATATATTTTTTTTCGAAAGTACAATTTAAGATTATAACCTGATAGATATCTGATTAATTGAATCTTTGAATTTTTTTTGAAAAATGTTTTTTACATACGTAAATATTTAAAGTGAAATATTTAAAGTAAATAATATAGTTTCAAGTGTATTAATAGGTCAGACACGTTTTTCTCAAATCCATAATGAAAATATTGATTAAGTTGTAATATGGTATTTATTATTATGCGTAATATTTTCAATTAAAGCATTAATTAGTTAATTAAGTTGAATAATTTTAAAATAATATCATTATTTACTTATTATATCAAATATAAAAAATACAAAATAATTGAATTATTAATTAATTATCTCAAGATGATTACATTTTATTTTGAGCCAATTAAAAATGTTATTGAATTGGATGATTCTAAATCGGGAAATGATTAAATATAATAATAATACAACAGGGTGAAACCCACGCAGCAGCCAGATAGTAAAACCCGCGTTAATTAGTTAGATCAGGTGAAACCTGAGGTAGCAATGTAAAATTCGTGCTTAATATTTAGAATAAGTAAAACTCACTTTTTTTTTTTTTTTTTTTTTTTTAAAAAAAAAAAAAAAAAAACCGCATTTAAGCGTACTTACAACTTATTATATTTACAATGAGGATTTTATATATTTTAGTATTTTTTTGGCTGCTGTTTTTGGGGCGGATCTAAAACTAGTGGTCTTATATAGAAGTTTAAGCTCATGGTTAATTCTAACCTTCGTGATTTCTGATATTTTGTTTAGAGGAATTATGTTGTTCCCCCATCTGGCCTGTGTGTACCAGCACCATATTTCATA